GAGCTTCTCCATCTTTGACTGCAAATTATATAGTCAATCTGATTTCGGTGTTGCCCATCTGGTGATGTCCATGTGTAGAGTCGCCTCTTAGGTTGTTGGAAAAGGGTGTTCGCTATGACCAGTGTGTTCTCTTGACAAAACTCTGTTAACCTTTTACAGTGGCGAGGGACTAAAGGAAAGAAAGTTCAGGAAGCCTGACATGAACCAGCAAGAGACAGAAGCAGGGCTTTGCAGACTTTGTTGTTGTTGTTCAGTCGCACAGTCGAGTCCGACTCTTCGCGACCCCATGGACCAGCTCCCGCCTTCCTGTCTTCCGCCGTCCTCTGAAGTTTGCTCAATTTCATGTTCGTGGCATCTATGACACTGTCTAACCATCTCATCCTTTGCCATCCCCGTCTTCTTCGGACTTTCCTTTCACCATCAGACACATCCACAACTGAGTGTCCTTTTGGCTTTGGCCCAGCCGCTTCACTCTTTCTGGTGTTACTTGTACTTGCCCTCTGCTCTTCCTCAGTAGCATATTGGACACCTTCTGACCTGAGGGGCTCATCTTCCGGCGTCATATCTCTAAGCCTTTTGTTACTGTCCATGGGGTTTTCTTGGCAAAGATACTGGAGTGGGTTGCCATTTCCTTCTCCAGTGGATCACTCTTGGTCTGAGTTCTCTGCTGTGGCCTGTCCGTCTTGGGTGGCCCTCCATGGCATAGCCCACAGCTTCATCGAACCGCTCAAGCCCCCTCGCCACGACAAGGCAGTGATCCATGAGGCAGTGATCCATGAGAATCATAACTAAGATTTACAAATAAAACCTTTTGCATGGCAGGTGAATCATAAATAAAATGTTTATCAACTAAGACCATTGATTAAGCAATATATGAATAACTGTCAATAGAAAGATGTTGAAGAATTAACTTACTTTATCTCTCTTTTAGTTATAAAGCATTATCTTATATTTGGCTTCGGAAATGTTTTCCCAGTCGAATCTGTGTAGAGATATATTGTCCAGTATTGGGAACCAAATGCTGAGTGGATTATAGAATTCACATTCGTTTTGATCTGTGGTATCATATCTTGAAAATTTTTCTAACATAAATATATCCTAAGTCTTATGTACCCTTTGGTTAACGGTAGGAGGTTTTTTATTTTTCCAGTTTTTAGCTATTGTTGATTTGCCTGTTGTTAATAGGATGTTGATTAATTTTTTTGTATTTTCAGAAGGTCTACCGGGAGGCCATAGGTGAAGCAGCATCAGTTCGGGAGTCAAAGGTAAGTTATAACTGGTTAATTTTTTAATCTGGTTTGCGATCTGTTTCCAAAAATGTTGGATCTATTTACAAGATCACCAGTTATGAAAATAGTTAGTTAGCTTTTTCTCCACAGAGTTTCCAACAATATGGTGATATGGATGGGTTTATATGTGTTAGTTTAGATGGTGTTAAATACCATCTAGTGGTTACTTTTAGATTAGTTTCTTGTAAACTTAATACTTTGGATATTTTTGTTTGTGTTTGCCAAATTCCTGTCCAGTTTTCATCAGTCAGCTGAGTTTTGAGGTCTAAGTTCCAAGCCATTTGGTAGCTTAAAGGCTGTTTTGTGTGAACGTGGATAATCGAACCGTAGATCTTGGAGATAAGGCCTTTT